TGGTGTCAAGAGAAAACAAAACAGAAGGCTTGTTTCTTCCAACAATTGCTTTAAGCTACAAAAATCTCCTTGAGTCCCTAGCCTCCCCTCAATGTCAGCCCCCTCCCCTCGCCCTCCCTTCCCCTCTCTCCTCTTCATTTCTCTCTTTTCCCCTTTTCCCTCTGTAAGGCAGGACAGGGCCCTCTTTGCACCCTGATAGGTTGCGGGCTGATGCTTAGCAACAACATTCCTGTGCCCTAAGTAGCAGTAAGCCTCTGGCTGAACTCTTTGATGTGGCTGTCAGGCCACATTTATTTCCTTTTAGCACTTTGTCTACTTGTCCAGATGTATAAGGAGATAAAAAGGGCTGGTGTTTACACTGGTCTCCCTCTGTAGCGCGGCTGTAATTAGATTGTATTGCTGGTCAGTCTTAAGGAGAGAGGTGAGGTGAGGCGAGGCAGGAACCAGCTGTGTCAGGATGAGCTGGTCAAAGGGAGACTTCAGAGACAGATCGCCAGAAAGGAAAACAGTGTGTAAGACATGGTGCAACACGATTGCTTTATGTGCTCACCGCGATGGCCGGCGTCAGATTTGAGAGAAATCTTCTAGATGAACTAATATCTTCATAATGTACTGTAATGTAACGCCCATCAAGATCTCTAATCCGCAGCCAAGCTTGCGAAACTTTGTAAACTTTGTGGCAGTTGCATGTGAAAAACAACTAGATTCACTTTTTCAGTGTCTTACATTTTGAAGATCCCCACCGTGGAGGTGGTTATGTGCTCCATGTGGCTCTCTTTGTGACTTGCTTTTCTTCTTTTTCCATCCCTCCCCTGTCTTCCTCCCCTCTCTCTCATGATGATATGTTGGAAGTAATAATCACTATTGCCTCTGGGTTTATCAGCATTTATTCACATAACAACACTGAAAAGGAGAAGACAGACAGCACTGGTGTGATGTATTATCTAGTATGGGAATCATCTTTCATAATGACATCCAACGGAGCTTCCTCTCTCTACCTATTCCACTCTCCCGCTCGCACACATACATCTACACACACTTTCTTCATTTCTCTCTCCCTCTTTGCACTCCCCTCTGTCCACCCTTTATTATCACGGAATCCGTGGTGCTCCCAAGCCTGTAAATTTGTGCCACATTATCATAAGCTGTGGTGATAACTCACATTGCACAGAGACAATAATGATGTGAACACTCAGCATATGCCCCGGGCCCAGCAAATTAAAACAATGCTCAGCTTGATGAGCAGACTAATCTGGACAGCAGAGAGAGGAGAGAGAAGAAGGGCGTCCAGGAGCATCTTACATAGACAACACAGCAGCACCTCCCTCTGTTCAGTGTAGGTACAGCTGGAGAAATCAAGCCAAAGAGCCAGAGGGAGTGAAAGAAATGATACAGGAAAGAGGGAACAGTGGGAGATGGAGTGTAAATGAAGTCCTTGTTTTGAAAATGTGAAAAGGACACGATGGGACAGGTCGTATGTTTAGTACATCGGAGGTTTCTGATTTGACAGAAAGTTTGCAAACCCTTTGTAATATAAAGGATTCCTGCATTAATTAATCAGAAAATGGTGCCCCATGTCTACATCGCAGTCATAATTTCAAACTTAAATGACATTTGGATTTTTTTAATTTTGATTCGTACATCTTGACCACTCACAGCGCAGGGATGAAAAATTAGAAATTAGAAACTTGTAGAACCTTCACCTCAGTCCGATCTCTTCTAAGCTCCCTGGACTGCTGCCCTGTGTTTTCTGTACTGTTCTCTCAGTAGCTGCAGAACAGCGACGCTCACTTCACCAGACTTCACATTTGAATGCTTTGGTGGTAATGTGCGACACCCCCTTTCCTCTAAACATAGCATTTTGTGTCTCAACAGTCCACTTTACATTGACCCTGAAGTGTTTTTGCTTCATTTGTGAAACACACAGTGTTGAGCTTTGTTTTGTTTATATGTGTCTGCAAAATGGTAGGTTGCTTAATAGCTTCCTTCAATAGCCACCTGTCTTACTCAGTGCTTATCTTAGAAATTTAACAAATTGTAGAGATACCTCCTGGTGGTCCTTTTTCACCTTTTCCAGGATTGCATATCGTGCTCTTGGTCTGAACACTGCGGGACACATACTTGCATAGAGAGTAAGCAACAATCCTGAATAATCTTCAATCGTAGCCAGCTTGTTTATTGTTTCTTGATGAGCAGCCCTTTCCAGCTTTGCGCATCAATAAAATGCTTTAAATGTGTTTTCCTTGTGGTATGATTCACGTCAGTGTTTTTAGGATAAGCAGACTTTGTCAGTACAGACATTGTGTGACCTTATAACAAACAGCTCCTTACAGTAATTGGAGCACCAAACTCTGAGCAGCATTAGAATAGGGGTTCACTTAGTTTCTCCAACCTACTTTCTAAATATGTTTAATAAAGGCACCAAAAGTTTTCTATTATTAGTATAATCAGAGTTTCTTTCTTTTTGCATTTTCTTTGTAATGGACCATGCTTTATGAGTAGCCAGTTTAGAAATACTGGTGGAAAAAAACACTTGTTTAAAGTGCTAAAACATAAAGCTATTAATCCTCTCGTAGCAAGTACAGAAAAATCGTCCTCCATTTGCTTCACATGCATGCTTGAGTGCAAATGTCAAGGGCTAATGATGAAGATCTGAGGGTTTAAAGGGGAAGATCGAGACAAGTGGAAGTTGGAGTTACAACAGCCACCTACGGGTCAGCTGTGTGATCAGCAGGCATTAGAGCGAGGAAGTAAAGTAGTGGTGTCATATCACTGGGGTGGAGTTGGTTTCAGCACTGAAAACAAGGTGACTAATGTCCCATAGGACCACAGCCAGAGTGCTAAGCTCCATCTAGTATTCACCACACCTAAGTAGTGCTCCCTTGTTCTCATCCAGCACCCCCTATATCATCTGCGGGTGGTGCTGTTAATAATGTGGCAACCCGGAAGATTAATTGTGGCCGAGCATCAGGATTAAGAGGGGATTTTTGTGGGCCAAGCAGGCCTAAAGGGGCCCAGGCTTGTGATCTTTCATGCAGACCAGGAAATGAGGCAAGCAGGGGGCGCAACTCTATGGTGGCCCAGACATGCACAAAGGTAGATCAGACAGCTCACAATTCCCGTCTTAATGCCTGAGTCGCTTGTTTCTTTTCCTATGAAGTGACATAGACGAACACTGAGTGTGTTTGTACTGATCGGTAATATGAGTTGCAAACCAAAATGGCAAAATTCAAAGATAGGAAAACGCTAAATAAACCTTGATACATGTCTCAAAAATGAGATGGGTGGTGATCATTTTGCTGTAGGATCTTTAGTCTCAGTCCAATATTTGTTTTGCTAGCTCAATGCTATAAATACCCAACTATTTTCCTTACATGTCAGGTGACAGTAGTTACTGAGTACAATGTGTTCATATTTTTAGTTCTTTTACTTCATAAATGTACATCGCAGAAGCAGGGGAGTGATCTGTGACATTTCTTAGGAGGTTTTAGCAGCAGGTCTGCTGTCAAAACTATATTCTTCTTTTAAGCACTTTTTTTTTTTTCAAAAGCTGACTCTCCAGCATACATGAAGCAAGGCCTTTAAAATAGGCGCATTTTGTCTTCTTTTTTTTCCTTGGTATAATATGAGACACATGCTGGCCAGACCTTAATGCCTTTCAGAGATGCTATCTGAAAGCACATTATGTGATCGTTTTCAGTTCACATTGCTCTCTTTGCCGATGAAGAATATGGTTCCATTTAACAGTGCAGACCATTCCATTTCTCAAGGTTATGCATGGGCATGTAGAGGAACAACAATAAAAGTGGGAAAAATGCAGCTCCAAGCCATCTCTAATATGTATTTGTCAGTTGAGTCTCTTGCCATGATTAAAGGCCTAGTGAATTCCTTCCTGCAAGAAAGGAAAGTATTTCTGCAAAGGCATCAGATATCGCTGTGTCATGATAAACTGCCTGCTCCGCTAGCTAAAAGGCTAAGGTGGAAAAAAAGAGAATGTTTTGGACCTTGAAAGTGCACCAAAAGAATAACAACACACAAACTGTTGACCCGTGTGGGAATACTGTCTCATGACATAGAGGCCACTGTTTTCTCTTTGTCCCAAACCCGCATTCATCACACACGTTTAGCCTGAACCTCTGACTGTGCTCACAGTCAGAGGTTCAGTCCAGTTTTGCAGCTAAGAATGTATGAAAAAAAAATCACATTTCAGTTGTAGGACAATAAATAAGATAAAGAAGTTAAACAAAGAGAAGTATGTATCATGTAATTTGCATTCACACTTTCTAGTGTAGAAAGGTTATTTCGTCTGATTTTATATTACCCTCATGTTACTGTTGTATTATCTGGGTGAATGTTAAAACCTCCCTATTAGGTTATGCTATAAATCAGGTGTCATCAGGTCCTCTCATAGACTTCATTAGAAAAGTTGTTTTGGTCTCTGGTTTGAAGATTATATTTATGAAGCCTAATGTGTTTGTTGCATTTAAACGTGTCACATCAACAAATTGTGATTTTACAAAGATTGAATCGCTTTCTGTACAGGTGTATCAGTACAGGTGTAAGACAGACACAGAGATCTGTTAGCATAATATACCACATAGCAATCTATTTGATTTGTCAGATAATTCCATTATAAATGACTCGACTCCATGAACAGGGTTTAAAGGTCCAGTTTGGGGATTCAAATTAGCAGCAATCTCACCCAGAGGTCAGCTAGCAGCTATAGAGAAATGACTGACACTCAAAGCAAGCCCTTAATCTTAGTATAATATAAACGGATAAGTTAAATTAGGAAAACACCACTGAAGGTGATTAATCCATGCTGTTAAACCTTGTCCCTATGAGAAGATTTTTTTTTGTCACAAAATGTAAATAAAATAAAATGAACTTTAGAACAAAGACTGCCACATGGCATTATTTTTTAACCATGTGGCAGTGGTTTGCTGCTTGCTTGCTATAACTTTATAGCTAATTCTTTTTCTACATTCCTTTTCTGCTAGTCACTTAATGAGGCTGGATCAGAGAGCCATCCACTGCCCTATTCGCCTCTACCGCGAGGATCCAGAGATCCCATGCCCCACAAAGGTAAGAAAAATATTTATTTTCTTCAAAATTAAGAAGAAACATTGAGATCCTGGTTCTATAGATTATGTAAATGAGTCATAACGCTAACAGCAGCAGAGAGTGGGAATCTATTGAACTTGAAACTGAGTTGAAGTTATCTATTCTTATTGATCTCTTCTCATCTGTGTGATGTGTTGATAGTGGGAATAAATCTGAGTAATCTCAGCTAACTCTGATCTGAGTGTAAGCGTGGGAGCATGCAGTACATACACAGAATGAAGCATCCTTGATCTGTTGATACTAGACATTGATTAGGCCTCATATTGACCCAGTGTAGTATGTTGATGTAATTATGTAGCAACTTCTTAACATCAAACACTGCACTCTAGAAAGAATACAACACATTCATTAAAACGACACACTGCTCTAAATTAATGGCGAAGGCCACCTACTGCTTTTGTACCAGATACTCAGCTGAGACTTTGAGAAAAAACAAGTCAAGTTCAATATTATTATACGTATCATACCCACAGGTCATTATCCCGTAATCAGCTGAAATGATTTACTGCAACCAAAATTAACTAATTCAATTCATTCCATTTGCATTTTTTTGTTGTTGCATGAATTCACAACAAAAGTAACATCAAGGTGTTTTATATTGTAAGGTAAAGACCCTACAGTAATACAGAAATAACCCAACAATGACACCCTATGAGCAAGCACTTGGTGACAGTGGGAAGGAAAAACTCCCTTTTAAACAGGAACAAACCTTCAGCAGAACCAGCCTCAGGGAGGGTGACTCATCTGCCGTGACCGGTTGAAGGTAAAGTGAGGAAAACCAAATGTGCATTTTAGTCAGTTCGTTTGACAATTTAGTGGTTTTCTTAATAATTAAACTGAATTAAATAAAGGAAGTGAATATATTTTATTTTAATACCACCAGAAACAAAAGTAAAATTCTTAAAATGCCCTCTATACACACATTCCAGCTATTAACATAAAGTAACATAAACACAACCTATGCTTCAGCCACAGTTCCAGAGATGAGCAGTCTCTTATGGATCCAGCATATGTACAACATATGGAGGTGGAAGACCATTTAAGGCTTTAAATGCAAGCAGTAGCACTGTATACTGGATTCTGTAGTGCAAAGGAAGCCAGTGTCAGTAATGCAATCTCTCTCTTTTTTTCTTTCAGTCAGTAATTGTCTGCTGCATTTTTGGACTAATTTTAAACAAGCAAGAAATGATTTACTAACTCCAGTATACTGTGCATAACAATAGTCCAGTCTACATGTAACAAAAGCATGCAGAAAACTTCAGAGCTGATGGTTTTAGACAAAATTTTAGTCCGTGTCAAATTTGTGTCAAGGATTTTAAACCTGTGTTTTAAAGTGGGTAAGAAGCCCAGGTTATGTGTCAACCTAGTTCATAGTGGAGGGCCTAACGATACGGCTTCTGTTTTCGATTCATTTGACTGTAAAAACTGTGGGATGTTTCTATATCCAAGATGCAGACAGTGGGCCTTCATATGCAGCAATAAGAGGATGCGTGCTGATAGTTTAATAATAAAGATAATTTTAAACATAAAATTTCACAGTCAGCCACCAGTTTTTCCATGTCTTGCAAAAGAAAATAAACATGCGAAGCAGTGTCTTCTATTTTCCAAATTCACGTTTATATATAGACTTTATGGAAACCCAGATTTAAGTAAGCCTGACTCTTGGACTTGGCTTTGTGGAGTTGTTTAAAGCAGAATTAACAGATAAGTTTGGCTTAATAACTCATTTGGCTTAATAAGTACCCTATTTCAGGGTTCAGGGTAGTTAACTATTACTTCATGCTTGAGAGATTCATCAATGATGTCACATTGCAAGATATTTGTGATGAGCTGACAACCACTATAGTAGCATTACTTATCAGTTGCGAGTGCTTCTAGGCTAATATACAGTAGAGTAGACCTCCATCCACATTAATGGTGCCAAGGACAGATCTATGTCATGAAAGCCAGGATGGTGGCAGCTCTCATCGGAAGTAAGGACAGAAAGAGCCTTGTGCTTTGTCAAAATCAGACCTGGCTAAGAACAACTCATTTAAAGGTGAGGGGACCTGCCACATGAAATATTTCTCCCCTCTGACTGAGATCAGAGTAACAGTGACAGTCTCCATTTGTTATTTTTATGATGCGGCGCTGCAGCCTTAGATAACACAGCCCTCGTCTTCGCCCTTCACCTCCTCTTCGTGTCCCTGCCTCGTCGAGCCCCTACCCCCGCTCTTATTTTTTTCTTTCCCCCCCGTTTATTTGCTCTTGTCAAACACAGTTGAGTTTTCTCTATGTGTGGGAAACGGTCACAGTAACTCCTCATTCAAAGAGAACAAAGTGGTGACAAAGCAGCGCTACAACAAACAGAATGGTTGAGACAGTAATTCCACACAAATGCGTGCTGAGGTAAATTCAGTAAATGAACAAAAGCGCTGAAACAATGCGCTGCATAATTTTGTGCAAATCACTGCAGAACTCTTGTTTCAACACACACGGTAAATTAAACAAATCGCTACATGTTTGTTCAAAATTTGTTGCAAAAGTAAGCCACTCTGGTCTTACTCTGTATCGTGCTTTTCCCACTGCAACTGCTGCTTCTTGTGCCATGTGATTAGCCTGTTTGCTTTATGCTTTAATCTTGAGAATCACAATCAATACTTGAATAAAAAATGCACTTCAACAGCTTTGGCTTTTTAAAGTACACATTATGCGGTATGTGATTGTGACAGTAGTTGTTTGGGTTAATGGTGTGGTCTTTTTAATAGAGAGGCAAGCGGGAGGCTGTTTGGTTTTATCCGGACTCCAGAAATAGCGGCCATATCAGCAGCGTATCTGAGATCGCTCCGACGGTGTCTCAGAAACACTCCGCCTTACCTCCCTTGAACCCCCTGCACCTAACTACTCCACCGTGTTACCTGTTTGAAAGCCCCAGAGTCTGGTTGGCAGAGGTAATTACAGCAGCTAGGAGCTCCCAATGGAAGGCAGCACTGGCAGGTCACTGCCCAGGGACAGAGGGGTGGAAACTGTGCTCCTGTCTTGGTTGGTGAAGGACACGGAATAAAACAAGGTAGCAGAGAGAAGAGCAGGGGAGAGTAGTGAAAAAACATTTGCTGCTGTGGTAGTGAAATCTAAATCGTAATTTCATAGACATCTGACAGCAGACAGAGAGGAAAGTAGGGGGGAAAGGACGGGGAAATCAGGAAGAGGGGCAGCTTTAAACAGTGAAAGGAGATGAGACTTCAGAATGAGAGGAAACTAGACAAAAGGCAAAGTGAAGGAGGATAGTGTGCGGCTCTAGTGTGTCTTGACGAAGGCGTGACACAGAGTGGAGTACATAGTCTGGCAGAGGGGCCCGAGGATCGTCCACTACTGTCACCTTAGCTCTAACTCTCAGTGCTGGTCCAACTGTCAGCTCGACTCTGAATCTAACAGTCCAAGATGGAGTCTCAGTGTAAAGTATAGTTTGCCTTCATGAAGACTGGTCTATACTACACTATTACACAGCCAATTACACGATGCAGTCTTGTGTCTTAATGTGAAGATGTATCATTTCAGCCTGGAAAAGAAAAAAAAATGTGCTGAGTTATTTATTACCACCTTGTCTTTTTCTTGAGGTGGCACATTTTGAAGTCAGATTTACATGTTGATTTCATAGATCTAATTATAGCTGTAGTTAAGAGGTATGTATGTAAAAAAAAAAAAAAAAAAGTAAGGCTTGAGACTTGATTGATGTATCCGTGTGCACAGAAGAAATTTTAATGAACTGCCTTTCATTTCCTTTGTATAATTCAATAAATATGCCAGACACTAGAAGCTGCTTTTTCACATGTATCAGATTAAATCTGATTGGGCCATCCTTCAGCAGTGACAGCTGTAAATGAAGGGGATGTCTCTGTACAAGCCAAGTAAATAGATCAAGAAAAAAAGCCCCACCTGGTATCTGCCTTACAGTATGAGCCCTGGGCCCTTTTAATCTTGCTTTTCTGGGCCTGCTTCCAGCTACTTTGTATGTATGTAACTTAAATGGTGCACAACTGTTATTAAAATCCCCAGAGGAAAGCAGCCTTCAAAGAAGAAAAAAAAAACCTCCTTTCTGATGATACTCATGGGGCACCTCGCATTTGTTTAGAAGTTCGCTTTTGTTACATGTCGAGGTGATCTGCACTGCAGCTCCTGCTACAATCCCCACAGCTCCCTCGGCACTCCTCCCCGAAATGGAGCAACGGGAACAGATCCAAGCTAAGAGTAAACTGTTTTACAGTTGCTGCACAACAAATAAACAAACATCTGGAAGCATTCAGAGTGGCCCATTAGAAGGGCTCTGGGCTTTGCCAAAAAGGGGTAAATGATGAGGAATGGGCTGTCGAGAGGCTGGTGGAGACAGGGGAGAGGCCAGATGACAGAGCTGTGGGTGCTAAGCACTGCCTTTTAGAGCTCAGCTGGGCTCAGAGAGATCTACACCTGCTGCTATCTCCTCCTCCCCTCCTCTCCTCCATCAGACATCTGGATGGGATACATGACTAATGGATGACTAAACTGCTAGTGTTGAAACTTAGCTGTTGTCATTATGAAGGAAAAGGTTGTTTGTCTGACTGATGACTTAATGTCCTCTGTACAACACACTTGGTAAAAGTAAAAATCAGTTTGACGGCTTTAAAATGAAAAAAATAGATATATCCCGATGTCTGTTTATCGTTGTTTGTGTAATAACCAGAGCTGATTGTATCTTCTATAAGTGCTTAGATTAGATGCTGTTGTGAATGCAAATCTGTTTTGAAAACATGTTCCGCTGATTATGAAATTGCTTCCTAAATTAACTGGCATTACATCAGACATCTGTTTCTTAACCCCGTAGGTTTTTCTGCACCGAGCTGTTTTTTCCGTGCTTATCTTGAGTGATAACTTAGTTCTGGTCGATGTCAATCTGTAGATAGAATGACGACTCTGCTCTTTCAGCTGACAGTCCTTCCATTCTGGTT